ATGTCAACGATTGCAACACTGTGTGCATGTGCACGACACCTTACCCATGAACGAGCCTGTGTTGCAGATAAGACTGAGGAAGCAACTCTCAGGAGGCAGATTCCCACATTTACTGCAAGAACAAATACATAGACAGAAACACTGTCAATCACTTTGCATGCACTATACAGCAGCAGTACAATTCCCCTCCCATATTGTGCACTCTGAAATACAGTATGCAGTTATAAATGCATTTCTGCTCATGCAACAGGGAAGAGGCAGGGAGCAGAATCAAGTCTTCCCAAATCCCATCATCTAGCCTTTGACTTTTCACCTAATGCATACTGCCTCTCTTTGAAGAATGGAAAATGTTTGTATGAGGGGAAGGCAGGAGACAGCCAACAAGGTCTGTACCCGAGCTGTAGCTGCCTACAAAGCCTTCTCAGCTGACTGCAAATCACGCACACAAACACACACGCATTCTTCAGAAATGGATGAAAGTGTAAAATTCAGCCGCCTGGTACTCAAAGTGATGATTTAATCAGATTATAGTCATTTGACATTGTATGATTTTAGTCAGTTACTCACTGATTTGACCCTAATGGCACAACTAGTAACACAGCTGAAAAGATGCATCTCTTCAGCTTTTTTACGCAACACAAACGCTGTACAACTAACCTTTGATGTGGGTCAAAAGGCTAAACAAAAGAATGAGAAGGTCTTGATTTCCAAAATGTAAGCCAACTCCACTGTGTGTGCATTTACATTGTTAAGAGCAGACTCATGCTTTGCCTATGAACTACCACAGATGCAGACAGGATATTGGAGCAAAGTTATTTTCAGACATGCATCCACACACACACACACACACACACACACACACACACACACACAGGGGAACACACCCTCATCAGAACTGTCTGTGAAGCTCACTTTTTAATAAACAATGTGTCGGCAGGGGCCACATAAAACAATGGGACAGTGTTCCTGTTTTAATCATGAGACAGAAACTAGAGCCGGCGTGAGTGAAAAGCAACAGGAGAGGTTGAGTCGGGCTCAGGGTGAGAGTCTGACTGACCTGATAAGAGGTACATTGTCAAGTGTGCAGCATAAGGTGGGCCCACTCTGCAAATGCAGCTCCTCTTCACATGACTGGTTGTACAACCTGAAGGCCCAAACGTGCATCAATCATATATGCGCACACACATATACACACGCAAAACATGATAGTGCAAAGCTCAATATTCAAGGATATAGATATACAAACTGAGCAAAATTATTATCCTAAAGGCAAATCACCAATTTGATTCAAAAGCAAAATAAAGCACAGACACATCTCTGATTACTATTATTGCCATACTTCAAATCACAGTAAGAACAATTAAAGATCTGTGTTCATGTACAGCACTTTATTCTATAGGTTTATGTGAGCAGATTTAGGTACATCTAATAATCAGATTACTAAAATCATGCTGTAGAAAAAAAAAAAGACTGGGAAAAATGGTGCAAATGACAGTGACAAATCACCAGGCATGATTTTGTTGCATTTGTAAGAATCAACGGAGGCATCATCAAGAATAATACAGCATAGAGAAAGTAATGTACCAGTTATCCATAGGGCAGACATGCTGGTTGTACACGGCCATGGCATAGCTGGAAAAGACAAAGTATGATTAACCAAAATAACAGGCAGATTTTCTAGTATGAGAGCCTATTTAATGACTTCACTTATATTTTTGACATTCAGTTAACATTGTTACTCAGTTCAAATTCAGTTATCACCCAAGACATAAATCTAACATCAGGTAGGGGGCATTTTCTAAAGAAAACAAAATAAAACAAGAATCATTTGTTTTAGTTTAATGACATATCTTCAGTTTTTTTTTCCAATTTGAAGTACAGGGATATACTGTAAAGCCTCTTGAATTGGCCATCAGGACTTTTTTTGTCTACCAAATGTCATATATTATGCATCTTTAGATCACCTACTGTACAGCACGCTTTCACTTTTTTCTGAATATATTTGATTATCCATACTGTCATTTTGCTACCTTTTCTGAGCAAAACATTACATTTTTCTTTCAGTTCTTCACCAGTTTTCTATAAAGTCTTTCCTTTCATGAATCAAGGGCCAAAGTGACACTGGACTACATAAATGAATCTGACTTGACACTAAAGCCCTGCCAGCCTGACTCTGCCACTCTCTGATCACTCCATCTGGAACTGTCAAAATGATACGAGTAATACTGAAGTCCAGCTGTCATCAGATCACTGACCGGCTACAGCTCCAGAGAGGTCACTGGCCAGAGGTTCAAAAGATAAAGACTTAGATGCTCGTTTTATAGCCAACATACTCTTAATTGCTATGTATGGTGTTTACTGTTTCATCCCAAAACAGCACAGTTTTAGACACACATTCATCTCTGGTTGACAGCAGGGTTAAAACAACACACTGACTCACTCAGTTCAGCTGAAAACAAACTTTTTCTTCTATACTCTACATCATACATTTTCATAATCCATTAAATCTAAATACGAGTGCTTTAAGATTATGCTCAGTATTCAGTTATGTGGTATTGTGCAGTTTCTTCTGTTTGGACTGTGTTGTGCCCTAAAGAAAATGTCTGAAGATTCTCAGTCATCTAAGTCATATCGAGAAGAGAGAGACATCCACCACAATATCCTGCATACAGCACAAAAGGTCAAACCAAACAGCAGTCATAACTATAACAGCCAATCTGTCCACTTAATTCTAATAGATTTCAAGCCAGGCCATAGCTGTAAAGATTCTGATGTGTCTATTTGTGCCTCATCTTGTTTATCTTCACAACAAAAGGCAATTAAGAGACCATTCCTTTTTGCAACTAGTTTTCTACATGTGAACAGTAAATGCACATCTGGTATTGTATGACTGCCTCAGATGGCAGCAGCGCTTGTTTGGCTGGTTATTGTTTGGCATTAGGCTGCATGAATCACCATGTGAGAGTCATATAAGCCAGATGGCAGACATGTTGCCAGTAAAGCGCACTGCTCTTGCACAACACAGTGAGGAAGCCCACATGGTTTAAGGATATGATTAAAGGCTGCCAGAGCTCCACCTCTAAGTCTAGTAACAACACACCAACTTAAAAACAAAAAAAGGTTTACTACAAATGTAGAGGCAAACTAAGGCACATCATCAGGAGGAATACAAGAAAAACACCTACAGCTGTAGAATCTATAACTACAGTCATGATTTGATGCATTTACATTTTTGGTCAGCTTTCAAAGCTAAAACAGCAGCAGTGCATCTAAAAAAGTGGTCTTTTCTGGCTGTATGTATAACTAAACTAGTGCATTCTGTGGTCAAGTTAAGTAATAATAGGTCTGAATACATAATTAAACCTTTATCAAAGCTCAGTGGGGACTGTGAACTGTAATGGCATGCCCGTGAGAAGTGTACAGGTGGAACAGAGCAGGTTTCTATTTAGTCTTGAACACTGAGCATTTGGGAAAGTCATTCATGTAAAAATCTGCTATAAACAGTGGGAATGCTGTTCAAACATACAGAAACATATTAGAAACCACAGGAAAGAATGAACAAGCAAGACTCCATTTGCCCCTCTGGCTGATACACGGTGTTTCAAATCCAAAAGCACAATGTGTGCTTAAACAGCAAGAAGAGTTGCTTATGGATACAGTGGAGACACAGTGCAGTTTCAAGCTCATTAAAAGTTCAGCAAAAGGATCTAAGCCAGGCCTCTTGGGTGGGCACAGGCCAGAGCCTTCCTCTGGCTCCACACAGACATGTCATACTTTGAGCATGACCACCAGATGCTAAGCAAAAGCTCTGCTTACGCTCTCCATTACCCCTTCCAGTATTTACCTTAAGACCACTCAGTCACCCACAGTGAAAGGAGGAGTTGTGAAACATGTCGCATCCTTTGACATTGCGTCCGTCTGGAAAACGATCCTTGACTGTTCTTAGAAACAAGGCACTCTTTTCAAGGTAACGGGCAGGAAATGGTTTTAAAGGGACCGAGTTAGCCTACATGTCCTCCAACTTTATATAGGTCCATCCATTCCTTCTTTTCTGCAAAGCCCTGTACCCCTGAATACACACTGTTGATTGGACTGTGAAGCAGAAATGTTGAAGAACACTAAGTGGTGCACAAGGTCTCAGCTTTGGCACCTGATTTGACTGGTTACACTCCACTCAACTCATCATAGATGTAGGGCACAGCCTAGATAAAACTATTTGGAACTGGGCCATCTGTCTTTCTCCCCTTGGGGTTTGCGCATTCCTCCTCCCGAATAATAACAGAGCAGAAGAGAGCTGTCAGCCAAAATATAACAGGATGTACTCACACTTTTCTCTCCTGTGCATCTGCTCAGATACTGTACTACAGGTAATGAAGACAGATTGTGAACCTGCACATCGCTTTTAAAAGAGGGGTGATAATCCCATATTTTTATACACTATACCTAGGTGCAATTCATGTAAATGATCATTTGCAAAGTCACATTTTTATTATGGTGATATATCACTGGCGGGTTTTGTTATGTACACTGTAATATTTAATTAGAAAGGAAAATGAAAGAAAATGCAAAGTAGATACACGTGCAAAAATCCAGACAAAAAGCTTGCTACAAATTTTACATAATAACCTATGCATCGTTCTTGACATAAAATAAAACCTGCATTTTACAGGTATTGACTGACAAAGTACTTACACAACCCATATCCCAGTGATGGTCAAGGCTGGGAGGCTAACAGGCAGTATCATCCAGAGAGACATCTTCCAGCTCCTTGAACAGACCCTTTCCTCTTTGTCCTCTTCGGCCACCCGAGCAATATGTGCTCAAGTAGTACTAACATTTAACTGAGTGTGCCTGACATCTGGACTGATTCATGTTCTTGAAGATGGAGGTTGGTGAACACTGCCAGGACAGATGTGTCCTTTTAGCTGGGGAATGACAGAAGAAGGAAAGTAAGTTAGAACAGGATCATTCCCCTACTCATCAGTAAGTAACCACCACTACCACCATCATCATAATCATCTTTGAGCCTTCCTTGCTAAAATAATCTGACTATAATTCTGTGACTAATGCTTAATTTCAAGTACTCTGCCAATTATTTCCTAGATTAACTGCCTGGTCTGTATAATGTACAAAATCAGTGAAAATGCCCATGGCAATTTCAGAGTCCCAGATGATGCATTCTGATGGCTTGTTTTGTCCAAATATTCAGTATAATATCAGATTAAACAAAGACAAATTCAATTCAAATTCTCACTGATGACAAGATGATCATTTTGGGTATGTTTTCCTTGAAAAGGAACTAATTAATTTAGTTATCAATTATCAAAAGAGTTGTAATGATTAATCGCTAATGGCAGCAGCTATAACATTACTCTGTTAGTCAGGGTTATGAGATGCTTACAGCAATTTCCTTTTAAAGATGAGCATGCACAGAAAGTGACATTACAAAAAAAACCACACCTGTAATTCAATACAATGTTCTGCTTTTCTTTCCAAAGGTCACTTTGTCCTGGACTGATGAACCTATCTGGTTGTTAATTTCATTTCAGATAAGAAAAACGTTCTTAACTTTGTTTGGCAAACACTAGATGAATGAATAAACTTGATGGATTACCCCGAAAGGCCGTTATCACAGGTAGCACAGCTTTACTCGTATTTATTTACAGCTAATGTTTGACAAGCTACATCCCTTGTCACGACACACAGAGCTGCTCACCTGCAGGTTTTCTGCTAGCAACAACGACGAACATCAGGAATAAAGTGGGCGACCACTCACCTTCTGTCTGCTCGTTAGCTAGCAACTTTTGTGGTTTTGTAACTTTACTATGCCGACCTCTCCTCCAACGCCTCTCGTGGCCCCAAACTACTCCACACTGGACTCGGTGAACAGCGAAGTCTTGTTTTTATATCAGTTACTTTCTTTTTTCGAACAAACGAAATCCGTTAGCTGACTTCTCTTTGATAAACGCTCTCACTAGTGATAAAAAAAAATCCTTGCTGGTGTATACAGCTGTTTCGTTCCGCCCAAAACCTGTGGCAATATAGTGTGTTGCATTTATGTTTGGTCGCGCACCGAATGGGCGGGGAGGTAGGGTCTAGAGTTTATTATACAAGTAGTTTACTAGCCGGGCATCTGCTCTGGAGCCTCCAACTCCTAGGAGCCCCCAAGGTCTGAATATAATTTGATTGATTTTATATTTATGAAAAAGAAAAAGAAAAAGATAAGATAAGATAAGATAAGATAAGCCTTTACTGATTTCCAGAGGGGACATTCAGGTGCTGCAGAAGCACAGGACAGAAATAAGTAAAAATGAATAACAAACAGAATTAAAACTTATGTAGTAGTCAAGGTAGTACTGTTGTATTTCCATCGTTGGAGAAGTGTGAGGCTTAACTAACACACAAAACCAATAATTGCTTCTATTTATGGTTATTATCTTCTGTCATAATTGAATCATTGTTCATCTTATAAAATGGCAGAAAATAGTGAAAAGGCATTATTCCCTGAAGCCCAAGTGAATACATTCTTGTTGCTTTTGTTATTTATAAGCAGCTGTCAAAACGTTCACTAACATAAAAAATGATTTAAAAATATTCATATTTGAAAGGTGAAACACTTTTTCAGCTATCAAATTTGTTGACAATTAATTTTTTGTCATTCAATTAATCAGCTATTTCAGCTCTATAGCAGAATAAACTGTTTACAATTCTGCGTACAATTCTTACAAAGCTGTGTATATCTGTTTACACAGTCACACTGTGGGGACTTGACATCCTTAAAGGGAGAAAAGGCACGTCTCCAAAACAGAAATCATTAGATTTTAAGGCTAGGTTAAGGTATGTTAAGGGTTAGGGTTAAGCAAGTAGTGGTTATGGTTAAGTTTAGGTCATAACTGGGGCGATAACGTACCAACTATCGCGAGATCGTGAGACAGCGCGGGGGACATTCATCATGGTGACGCACAGTCACTGACGATAGGTGGCGGTAATGCACCTTAGGTTGGCTTGCAAACCGTCAATAAACACCATAAGAAGAAGTCACTGAGGATAATCAAAACACTTTACTGTTTTTTGGACTTTATAACCCACTACTGGTATTACACGAGCAATCCATCTGAATCGCAAGCTGCTGCCAATAACCGGAACGGACCTTTCACATACTGGAGGATTTATAGGACCTGGAATCGTTCATCGACAAATACTACATTCACTGCAGTATGGATACCGCCAGTACAAACCAACAAGATACGCCAAAACCAAACAAACGGTACTTCTTCTACGGATACAAGCGATCTACAGACATTGAGGTCAGTGCATTCCAGAACACTTACCCGACAACCCCGAAGCACTGGTTAAGGATTTTATGAAGAATCAACTACAAATCCCACAGGACACGGTCAACGTGATCACCTTTCACCGTTCACACCGCCTTGGATCACGTTCAAACAAAACGCCCCGACCAATAGTAGCCAAACTGGAACATTACAAACATAAAGAACTCGTCAAAAGCAAAGGAAAAGAACTGAAAGGCACACATTATGGACTCAACGACCAATTCCCACGGGAAATTAACGAACGGCGCAAAACTCTCTACCTCATTATGAAACAACACAGACAGACCAATAAACGAACAAACATCGTTGTCGTCGTTTTTTTCGTTTCTTTTTACCTCTCGCTTTACATTTGAGTCACTTAAATTAGTATCATGGAATGTGCGAGGCTTCTGGTCCCAGGCCAAAAGGATTAAGATCATTAACCACCTGATGAAATTAAAGGCAGATATATGCTTCTTACAGGAAACTCACCTAACAAATGCTGAATCACAAAACCTCACATTTAAACAATTTAAAAGGCTATTCTCATCAACATACAATAGCAGGCAGCGAGGTGTCTCACTTCTAATTAATAAAAACATCTCACTGGTCCATAACACATCCATTGTTGACCCAGAAGGTAGATTTATCATTGTTAATGTTTTGATTAACCACACAACATACACACTTGCCAACATGTCCTAATAATGATGACCCATCTTTTTTCCATAATTTTTTCTTTTTGCTGCACAACTTTACAAACATTGTCATTACTGGAGACTTGAACACTATTATAGACCCTAGAAATGATCGATCCAAGTCCTCCACCCATTCTGCAGCTCAAGACTGTCCCCTACCACTTCGCACTGGCAACATTAAATATTTAGGTATCTGTATTTCCCCTAGGCTCTCAGAACTTTTTAAACCTTAACTACACCCCTCTGCTCAAAAAGATAGAAGATGATTTCAAATGCTGGTCCAACCTCCCGCTGTCGCTCATTGGCAGAGTTGCTACTGTCAAAATGAAAACTTTACCACAAATGAACTACCTGTTTTCAGTGTTTCCCACAACACCAACAGATAAATGGTTCAAATCACTCGATTCTCTAACTGGAATATTACAATATTTTAGTTAAGTGGATTCAGTAGGATAGTTGTAATAGCTCGTGGATGGAACTAGAACAAAATCGATGCAAAAATACTTCAGTTACAGACCTTTCCTTCCTACCATACTCAATTAAGAAAATGAACTATTTCAAAAACATCACAATCTCTGCAACTCTGACAGCCTGGTGGAAAGCAAACAAAACCACTAAATCATCATTAACACCATGTAGATACAGTCCAATTTGGCATAACCCTGACTTTCCAGTTAATAATAATCCTGTCTACTTTCCAACATGGAAACACAAAGGAATAACTCACCTTCATCATCTATTTGAAAACAGCCAGTTTATATCATTTAATACATTAGTCCAGAAGTACGGAGTTGGGAGAGGAGAATTTCTCCAGTACCAACAGTTAAAATCCATAATTAAATTAAAGTTCAATATAATCAGCAACCCCCTGCAACCTTCCATGCTAGCTGAGGAGAAAATGAAATTTACAAACTCAAAGAAGATTATATCTAAACTTTATAAACTAATGTCAAACACAGATGGAACGATAACATTACCAGTGACTAAATGGGAAACGGATTTATCTCTCCCCCCCACCAGCCCCGACTTCTGGACCGAGATTTGTAATAATATATTTTCCATGACTACCAATATAAACGTACAGCTTGTGACTGAGAAACTCTCCACCATCTTGAGCTGTAGAATCCCCCCCATCCCTGTCACTCTGCCTGCTCGGTAATGTCACAGAAGTCAACCACTTACCAATTAAATATAAAAACCCACCTATTTCTCTAACTATTGCTGATCTTTCTAAACTGGAAATCTAAAAACTCATTACACATCAACTACTGGGACCAACCTTCTTATAGAATATATCACACTAGAGAAAATATCATCCACCCATAAGAATAATATACCAACCTTCACTGACACTTGGAATCCATTTCTAATTTCTTTTAACTTAAACCAGATACCTGAGGCTGAAGCCACACACATTCCCACAAACTCCTAGAAATATAGCAAGCTGCTTTTTACTTCATTATTGTTACTGTCATTAGTCCTCATTGTCCATGCCACTGTTTTGAGTGTCACACTGATCAATGAAACCAAATTAACTGAGAATATTACCTACCCCCTTTTTTCTTCTCCTCTTCCCTCTCTTTCTAATCATTTACTGATCTGTTAAATTCATTTATTTTTGTTTTATGAGTGTGTTTACATATATATGAGTGTATACATAAGTATGTGATCTTGTTTTTGTAGGACACTTGAGATCTCTTTGGGGAGGTTTGCCAGATTTGCTGATGGATCTGCTGTAGCACAGGTAAAGAAATACATTACACTAGAAAAATTACTACTGACTTGCTATTCATTGTATTTTGGTTAAACACAAATTTATTTAGAAACATGCACCGTGCACATTTTGAACGCCTCTAAAAACAGGTAGACAAGACAGACAACAATGCAGAACCCACTCTGAGGCTCTTGTTGTTTGAATTCATATTGTGCTTTAAGGGTGTCAAATAAATACAATCCAGTTGAGACTTCCTATGGGAATATGGGCCTGCCTGACACCAGTGATTTGTAACTCAGTCTGTCTGGGCTAGAAAATAAACTGATGCTCTTATGGATAAGGTTATCAAAAAGGCTTTGTGCCTTGACTGACAGGTGGACTACAGACAGAAAGCCAGGTCAAATCCCCACCAACTACTTGAGGCGAGAGCTGGGCACCACTGACAATGAGATCCTCACTAGCAGACTCATAGGTAAGTTGACAAGAATGTGTCTTGTCATTTGTGTAGCTTTGGTGTAGCAGGTTAGTGTATTGGTGTTGTACTGTGAAGGCCTTTAACTTGAGTATGTTTCTATTCCTCAGACAGGTCGATTCGACCGCTTTTCCCTCCTGGCTACTTTTATGACACTCAGGTTAGTTCAGTGTGAATGTTTTTTCACCCTTATGTGGTAGTAATTTTGTCCTCTTTGGATTTTTAATCAAAATGATATACATCTGTATTTGTGTCCAGCCTTTGTGTGTGCACATGTATGTTCATGCCTCCTGCAGATCCTGTGTAACCTGCTAGCAGTTGATGGTGTCAATGATCCAGATGTGCTGGCTATTAATGCAGGTGAGTGAAATCTCAGACATCCATGTTTTCTACAGGACATAGTTTCGATTTAGCTAAAACAGTATTTTCTTTCATTAAAGCTTCTGCGGCTCTGGCCCTGTCTGACATTCCCTGGAACGGACCCATAGGTGAGGAACACACAACAGATTTTGCCTTATGTCCATGTTTTTATTTATTGACCTTAAATCCTGGTTTTCATTTGTCAGTTCAACTTCAGTTCTTGTGATATTATCATACACTTGTTTAAACTTAGCTCAGGACCACTTGTGTGTTTGTGTTTTTGCAGGTGCCGTGCGTGTGGGCATGGTAGATGGAGAGCTGGTGATCAATCCCACCAGGGTAGAGATGACTCCCGGCAGCCTTAACCTGATTGTGGCTGGAGCTCCCAGCAGTCAAGTGGGTAAGCTGACAAATACAATAAAACTCCCTGCAGAAGCTTGAGTGTTTATTTACTGCAAAAAGTGTACACATAAACAACCTTAATGGGAATCACACTGTCCACACAAAATGATATAAATGTATAGATTGTGTGGGTTGATCAGCTGTCGCTCTCAAATGCAGTATAAATTACTCACTTGTAGATGTGATCACCACAGATATTCTCAGCATCGGTGATTTTAAGCTCTGTATCACAGGCTGTATCATTTTCTTCCTTGCAGATTAGCTTCTGAGAGGATCTATGCTGTTTTTACTGAGTATTCTCACGATAAGGTAAAATGTGACCTCTCGTCCTCATATGTTAGTCAGTAAGCTGACAAATACAATAAAACTCCCAGCAGGAGCTCAAGTGTTTATTTACTGCAAAAAAGGTACACATAAACAACCTTAATGGGAATCACACTGTCCACACAAAATGATATAAATGTATAGATTGTGTGGGTTGATCAGCTGTCGCTCTCAAATGCAGTATAAATTACTCACTTGTAGATGTGATCACCACAGATATTCTCAGCATCGGTGATTTTAAGCTCTGTATCACAGGCTGTATCATTTTCTTCCTTGCAGATTAGCTTCTGAGAGGATCTTTGCTGTTTTCACTGAGTATTCTCACGATAAGGTAAATTTCAGAAGATTACCGTATCACTTGATCAAGGACTGTAGTAATGTTATCATAATCTTGTTTTAGATTTCAAGAGATGAAGCGATCAACAAAATTCGACTAGAGACAGAAGATGACCTTAAAGGTTAATTATCTTTATGTTGCATAGAAAAAAAATTAAGTTAGCTGTTTCAAATATTGTTACAACCTACTTTACACATCATGTTTTTACATTATTACATTTAAATTCCATTTCTCCATGTGTAGAAAAATTCCCTCAGGCTGAGCCCTTTGAATTAATTGAATCCTTCAACACTGTGAGCAAAGACATCTTCCGCAACTTAGTGCTTAATGAGTACAGGAGGTAAGCACTGTCTATGGAATTATCACTCATTTTCACACATGAAACCACACTCATACTGTTTACATTATCAGCAGGTAGCATTGGCATTTCTCAGGACCATTACCCCGCCTTCTGGCACTTTCCCGCCATATTTCAATGCCATGGCACTCTGTTTATTGTCCTATGTTTCAAACCAGCCCAAATTATCCACACAGATTAAAAAAACACTAAGACAATTTAACCAGGTACTCCACTCATTTTCTTTCTGCAGTGGCATTAAAGATAAAAGCTTCATTATGAAGTGAGTAATGTCCTGTTTCCATTTTTCATCTTGCCCCTTTTGACATGAACTTAAACTCGCGCTGTCTTTAAATTCACTTCCCTCCGTACGCAACTAATGAGATTGGAAAGATGGGAGGCCTCAACAGGAGGGAGCTGGGTCATGGTTTGTATTAAAATTGACATCATCTTTAGCTAACTGCTGCTTCATCAAGAGCCACATGGACAAAGATTCTTTGCATGTGGATGTCTTTGTTCACATTTACTGTATGTGTATTCCCAGGGGCCCTGGCTGAGAAGGCGCTGAGACCAGTCATTCCTAAAGACTTCCCTTTCACTGTCAGGGTCACTACTGAGGTCCTGGAGTCCAACGGTAAGTGTGCACACAGTCTTAAATGTGTTAAAAAGTTTTTACAGGCACCACAGGAAATTAGACCATTGACTGGCAGGTTGTCTCAGACAGGAACATGTTACAGTGAAAATCTATTGCTCTTTTTGTCTTCTGCTCTCAGGATCCTCCTCAATGGCTTCAGCATGTGGAGGAAGCCTTGCTTTAATGGATGCAGGTACCAGAGAGGGAACGCGTGAGCTTGTATTGTTGATAACATCTGTAATAAAATGGTTCAGATTTATTATTTTTAGTCAACTTTAACACTACAGCTACAATTTGATTTAATAGTAAAACAGCCAGTTCTGTGTAGAATTTCTAAAAACGAACATTAGATGGAAAAAGTCAATAATTATATGTACCTCAGTTAAACATTTAAAAAAATAGAAAGGCTTTTTTGAGTTTGCTGTTCAAAGCAACTAGACACTGTGGTTTAAAGATGGATAGATGGAGTTAAGATTTTGCTTAATTTACATTTAGTAAAGTGCAACCGTGCATTAAGATGTAGCTAATATGTCCAAATCTGTGTATCCTAGGTGTGCCCATCTCTTCTGCTGTGGCAGGTGTAGCAGTTGGCCTCATTTCTAAGTCCAACCCAGAGAAACCTGCTGAGATTCAAGACTACAGATTACTAACTGATATCCTGGTACATACAGTGCAACTGTACAAAGAGTGTCGTTGAGCAATACAAATCCTCCTAAAGTTATAACTGATGTTCCTGCTTAATTAAATTGGACATGTTGAGTATGAGCTAATTAGTCTTTTCTGAACAGGGAATAGAGGATTATCTTGGAGACATGGACTTCAAATTGGCAGGAACAAACAAGGGCATCACTGCTTTACAGGCACTCAGTCCTGTCATTCATAACACATGTCTACAGCAAGCTTTTTGACTCACTATGTGGCTGAAAGGGGCAAGAAAACCAAATAAACATATTACTTTTTCATGGAAATATTTCACCTGGTCCTTTTTTAGTGATGTGTAAATATGATTTGGAGAGCAGACCAAAGCATACTTGGAGCTTTAATTTAAGATTTACATGTTGTAAATACATCAAGATTATTATTTATTATGAGACACTGTCACACTGTGTTGAGTCTTTATTACTGCCCACTAGACAGGATCATGATAGGAATACAAAACATTGTAGTGTAGTGGCAGCATACCTGCACAGGTGACAGGAAAGGAAGCGTGGATGCGGGTTCCCCTGACCAATCATCAACAAGGGCCATCTGCAGTGAGCGTGACTGCAAGTGGTTTAAATTTTGAGAGCAAATGTTGGGTTAGTTTGTTGAGTCCGTAGGAAAGTGCCGGTTCGCTGCGTCAGTCGCTGTAGTCTCCGGTGTTGATTCGAATGCGTTTGTTTGGCCAGAACATCTGCGTTGTGCCTGCAGGAAAACAGAACTTTAGGTGTTCGGTAGTGATGGCCATATGAGGCCCCATGAAGCTTTGGACCCTTGGACCATGTAATGAAAATTGGTTCACTACTCAAAGCTTCATTCAGTCATTGAGCACGTGGGTGACATCTGCTGGAGCAGCAGCTGTTGCACAGCCTTGCAAAGGTGACGCTGAAGCACCTTGCGTGTGCACTGAGTTTTGTTGTAATGTGGAAATGACCTAAATAAAGCTGAAATCTAACTTCATTTTACATGTCTGTTTTTCTTCCTTGCCTTATAAAGTATCTGAAATGGCTGCAAAACAATCTTAAACAGATGACAACACAGCTGTAACCTGATGTTAAAGATGTTAATGTATAACCTTAATGTATTACTAAAGGCAAATTTACCAGAAGTTCACATTCAAGAAATGTTTAGACAGTTTCATGATACATGTTATTTGTTTCTAACAAGGAAATATACAGCCAGATTTTTGAAGGATTACAGGCCAATGTAACACATGGCCAAAAAAGCTGAATGACAGCCAGCAGTAATTAATTTTAAATATGGTTTATTGCAGTAAATCCAACTTAATGTATTACTACTATGACTTTACTAAAAGATGTTACATTTAACAAGCTGGTGCTTGAGTTATACATTGAATGTTATGCTAAGATAACCTGCTGGATTTCTGAAGGGGGTGTGATCACTTCTATCAGCAAAAGAAACACGGAGCCTATGAAGTGAAGCCATGTGCGCTGTCCTTGATGCTTGATCTTAAACACTGACCTCAGCATCTGACCCTGTCCATCTTCCACCAATAACAAATAGTCTGAAGAAGCATTCTGTAGCTTCACACTTAAAAGTTATCACTACACATTTATTTTAGTTACAATTTAAGAATTTACACACAAAATGTGCTTAGTTCTTCATTAACGGTCAACTATTTTCATAATTGTTTACATTTGTATGCCTTTGCATTAGTCCAACCATGGCTGGAATAATAATTCAACATGATGTTAACCTGTACACTTTTAACAGTCCAAGTCATTTTGTATAGCGCCAAATCACAACAAATGTCATCTCAGGACACTTTACAAAGTAAAGGTCTAGATCTTACTATTATCATCATTACAAAGAAAACTCTCAACAAATCCCAAAGTGGTGTAGTTAGGAAGCCATCAAAAGGCTCAGTCCACCTAAGGTGTAACCCCTGCCACTCACTCACAACTGCTCCTGACTTTCTCCTACAATTGCTTTATTCTCCTTGACTGGTGCTTTCAAATATTCGACTAGGGTGATGTGGAACACAGTACAGTCAATTTAGAAAGGGTTAAAAAGAGAGAGAGAGAGAGAGAGACATCGGAACTATTGTCCTGAAACTAGGTGTGTTCACTGAGGACAAGAACTGTAGGTTTGTTTATTTAAAAATGTAATGCTCAGATACTATTGAGTGGAACTGAGAGGTGTGCTGCTTCTTTGTCGTTCTCCACTATTGATAATTGGAAGATTAGTCTGCGGGAACCCCTATTCACCCACTTCCTTTCCTTGTGTTCCATTTGCCCATGCCGTTATGCCGCTTATTACGCCGCGGCAAGGGCGGGGAACCTCGTTCAGTTAAATTTACAAGGCTGCACATGATGCGGCGATATGACGCTGATCTTCATCAGCTGATAGTGGTATTTCCAGAAAACAGGATGTTCTTTTATATTAAGCAACATGATGTCTCTGCTATCCCAGAGTTGAACTGTAAAGGCTGTATACAAAGGCCGTTCCTCATGAAGCCTCCAGTATCCGGCTGCCCTCTGCTGGTGGTAGATGACTAGTACACATTATAGAGCCAATGTATGACGCTCCATACGCCAAATGATAGGCAGAGGTATGATATATGGCCTATAAACATGGTCCAAGAAGGTTGGGAAACTAGATAACGAGCCCTCCATTGAGCGCCAACCACGTGACGTCCTGGCGTTTCAGTGTACTCGTTTGTCATTGGAGGAGGCTGGTGTCCACGCCCACGACGTGTGCAGGTCTTTCCCGCGCTGTATCGCTGTTGCAGTCAGGCTTGTGGTCCTGTTGCAACTGTTATCTCAAGCATACACCGGAAATAGACTCTAAACTGTCACACATGGCGAAGCAGAGTTCACTTTTTAAATTTTTCACCAAGTCTCCACCGGCGGTCTCCAAGCCGAAACCGACTTCCTCTCCGGCCGAGGCAGACCTGCCTTCCTCAGTCGTCAAGTCCAACTCCTCTCCGAAAGAGCAAGCTAATGAGACACCACGACAACCACAGACCAAGGCTAACAAAATTAAGCCGAAGAATGACTCCAAAGCTGGAAAATTGGGATTCAAGAAACAGTTTGGCGACAAGGCCCCAACAAGAAAAGAAGTGTGAGTGGAGTGTGGAATTGCTGAAGTGACGTTTTGCACTGTTTTTCTTACCTCTGCTGAATATTGTCTTCATTCCCGTAGAAACACTTAACAGTTAACCAGCTTCTCCAATTGTAAACGAAGTCGTTTATAAAGCAGTTATATCCTGTTATGAGTTCAGCGGGTTAGGAAAATGTTTGCAATTTAACAAGTTAGTCGACTTTTGGAAATCTACACTGTTATGCACTAACTTAAGTTCATTGCAGCGATGAAAGTGATGGTGCATTCGATCATCTCTGACATTTGGATATGCTTAAAAGTCACAGATGGCTTGATGTGACCTGTACAGACCTTGCAGTGCAAGGATTTCCCTTGGTCAAATCAGCCAAACCATCTAATTCCCCAGCGTGGAAAATAATAGAGTAAAAGGGGAAGATACTAGTAATAATGGCACTACATCGTGTGATACGAGTAATAGGGGACCAGTTAATACACTGTGGTCTATATTGGTCTGGGGGAGTATGGCCTGTATATTTATTTATTGTTTATCCTTCTGCAGCTCCTCATGCTCCTTCAGTTCTGGTGCCCTTGTGTGGGCAAAACTGGAGGGGCACCCCTGGTGGCCGTGTATGGTGGTACCCCAACCGCTGACTGGACAGCAGATTAGAGACCTTGGTCGAGACCAACGCATACATGTTCATTTCTTTGATGAACCTCCTACTAGGGGATGGGTCAGCACCAAATATATCAGAGAGTACCAAGGTTGGTAATGGTTTTTCCCATTGTAATAAGATAGTGGTAATAATAATAGCTGTATAGACTTTCTTTGTTTTTGTTGAATGATGAGTTTGTGCCCTGTTGTTGCAGGCTCTGACAGCAGTGATGCTAAAACTGGAGGGGTGTTCTTCAGCAGCAAACCTGTAATCCGTCATGCAATGGAGCTTGCTGACAAAGTCATGTTTGACAGCCCTGAAAAAAGATTAAAGACGCCTCTCTGCACAGATCCATCCGATGAGGAAGAGGGTGATGATGATGAAATGGAGGTAACATTGTGATTAGTAATGTTGACGATGTGCACATTACAAAAACCCTTCATTTTACTAAACTAACTTAAACAGATAATCACTCAGTAATACAGGGTCATATCTAATCAGGTCATTGAAAGGTTACATGCTTTTTTTGTGTGTGTGTGTGTGTGTTTTCTCAGCTTGACAAGTCAGTAGTAAGTGATGAAGAGGTTAGCGATGAGAGTGAACAGAAAACTGATGACATGAAGCCATCCAAAGTCAGTCGACATTCATCCCGTGCTTCAAAAGAGAAGGGAAACGGGGCAAAGCGGCGGCGCATAATTATAGCCTCAGACAGTGATGGCTCAGATGAGGAATATAGACCAGAGCATGCTGCATCCAGCAGTGAGGATGAGGAGGAAGAAGGGACGGTGAGCAGTGAAGAAGAGAAAGAGGAGAGCACACAAGAGTCAGAAGCTGAAAGCCCCGTCAAGCCTGTGAAGCGCAAACGTCCTACAGAAAAGTCTGCTAATACAAAAGCCAAAATATCCACAGCCCCATCTGCTGTACCTAAACGGGCTCCAGCATTTCTCACAGCTGACACAAAGTCACGTTTGTCAGCCTTTTCTGCCCCTGACAGCTTTGAGAGCCAGGCAAATGGTTCGGGCACCAGTGGAGCTGCAACAGTTTGGGACCATGAGAAGCTGGAGTGGCTGCAGGACGGCAGGAGGAAAGATGGCCGCAGGCGGCGACAGACAGAGGATGACTATGATCCTACCACCCTGTATGTGCCAGAAGACTTTCTGAACAGAAACACTCCTGGTATGCGTCGGTGGTGGCAGATCAAATCTGAGATGTTTGACGCAGTGATTTTCTACAAGGTGGGGAAGTTTTACGAGCTCTACCATATGGATGCTGTTATCGGTGTCAGTGAGCTGGGACTGACCTTCATGAAGGGAAGCTGGGCGCACTCTGGCTTCCCAGAGATTGGCTTTGCTCGTTTCTCAGATGTACTGGTGCAGAAAGGCTACAAAGTTGCTCGTGTGGAGCAGACAGAGACCCCAGAGATGATGGAGGCACGCTGTAAGACCATGGCTAAGCCCACAAAGTTTGACCGCGTGGTGAGAAGAGAGGTGTGTAGGATAATCACGCGTGGTACCCAAACCTACAGTGTGTTGGACGGTGCTCCCTCAGAGTGCCAGAGCAAGTTTTTACTAAGTTTAAAGGAGAAGGCAGAAGAAGAAAGCTCTGGTCGTTGTCGTACTTATGGAGTCTGTTTTGTAGATACTTCAGTGGGTTATTTCAATGTTGGTCAATTCCCAGATGACCGTCACTGCTCACGTCTGCGCACTCTGATAGCACACTTTGCCCCTGCTGAGGTGCTCTTTGAAAAAGGGAATCCATCTGTTGAAACACGCAAAATTCTCAAGGCCTCTCTGTCCTCTGCTCTGCAAGAAGGGCTTAACGCAGGGACGCAGTTTTGGGATGCTCAGAAGACTCTTAAAGTCCTCTCAGAAGAAGACTACTTTAAAGGGACTGCTGGCAAGGAGCATGGAACTGGGAACAGTTTTCTGCCCGCTCTTCTGAAAAAGATGACGTCTGAGAGTGATTCGCTGTGCCTTACCCCTAAGGATGACTGTGAGCTGGCATTGTCAGCACTGGGTGGATGCATGTTCTACCTGAAGAGATGTTTGGTGGACCAAGAGCTGCTCTCCATGGCCAACTTTGAAGAATATGTTCCTGTTGATCTTGAGATGGAGAAAACCACTGGACCAGCCAGTTTCTTTGCTCAGACTTCTCAGCGCATGGTCCTTGATGGCGTGACTCTGGCAAACTTAGAAATCCTTCAGAATGGGTCAGGAGGAACAGAAGGGGCACTACTGGAGCGTTTGGACACCTGCTCTAGTCCATTTGGCAAGAGGCTGCTGAAGCAGTGGCTCTGTGCTCCCCTGTGTAACGCCACATCCATCAGGGACAGGCTGGATGCAGTGGAGGACCTGATGGGAGCTCAGGCCCAGGCTACTGAGGTTTCAGACCTGCTGAAGAAGCTGCCAGATTTGGAGCGTCTTCTGAGTAAAATCCACAGCATCGGCACTCCCTTGAAGGGCCAGGACCACCCTGACAGCAGAGCCGTTCTCTATGAGGAGGTCACCTACAGCAAGCGCAAGATAGTAGATTTCCTCTCAGCACTGGAAGGTTTTAAAACTATGCAGGAGATCATTTCTGTCCTTGCTCCAGTTTCAGGTGAATTTCAATCCACGCTGCTCTGTCAGGTTGTCAGTTTGAAAAGTGAAAAACAGGGGCTCTTTCCTGATCTCTCTGCTGAGCTCAAGCGCTGGGAGACATCCTTTGACCATCAGAAAGCCCGCACTACTGGTGTTATAACCCCTAAAGCTGGCTTTGACCCCGAGTACGACCAGGCTCTGACTGGGATCAAGAACTGTGAACGAGAGCTGCTGGATTACCTGGACAGACAGAAGAAAAGACTTGGCTGTAAAAGCATGGCCTACTGGGGAACTGGGCGAAACCGTTACCAAATGGAGGTACCTGACAGTGTGTCGGAGAGGAGTGTTCCTGAGGAGTATGAGGTGAAGTCTACCAAGAAAGGCTGGAAGCGTTATGTGACAAAAGAAACTGAGCGGCTGTTCTCAGAGCTGCAGGGATTTGAGGAGAAGAGAGATGCTGCACTAAAAGACTGCATGAGGAGGCTTTTCTACAACTTTGACAAGAACTACAGAGACTGGAAGACTGCTGTGGATTGCATGGCTGTGCTTGGTAATTACAAAACCAAATCTTATGCAAATTAATCATTATCATTCATTTTACCAGCAAGCATTGATTTATTTATTCTTTCAAGCATGTAAAGACAGTTGATATATCAACACACATAATTTTACACATATCCAACAAATGCTAATCCAATATCAATTTGCTTATACCTAGTACATGCTTGAATGGAGTAGGAAGAAGTCAGACTTATCCAGTCCTACCCCATGACATCATCTTACCATCATTGGTTTGCAAGCAATAAATGATTCACTTCTATTCTCTTCTACACCACACAAGTAATATATTAAAGAATTATTACA